AACCTGGAAAAGTCAGATTTTCATGATATGTCACCTTTAAATCAATGCATTACTTGCAATTGCTGAGTAATTATTTGTGATTTGCAATTTCTTAGTAAAAAAATTTGAGTAAAAGTTTTTTTGTGCGTGTGTATAGTTGCTAAAGTCTATTTCATGCATTTACTAGTTGGCTGCTTTCTGCATGAGCAACAGTAATAATAATGCACTAATCATGTGCATCAATAAAAGCAGTTCAAACTCACCGAACTTCAGGAGCAGGCAGTCCTCTGACGATACAATCCAACTGGACTTTACTGCCCTCAGGAACCTCCCTGCTTTTGAGTTTCTGTATGAAGTGTGGAGGTTCACACACGGGTTCCTCCGAGCTCTCAGTCTGAATCAGAGCCGGCTCCTGAGGCTCCTCCGTGACTCCACTCTTCTCCTGAGGCTCCTCCATCTGCTGGTTGAGCAGAATAGGTCTTTCTCGATCTTCTGCATTAATGGAGTACAAAGTGCCATCAAGCTGGGTTTTGTTCTGGAATCGGCTCCGGTGGGTTTTGCCAGCACGAGGCCGAATTCGCTTGGAGCTGCCGGCTTTAAACAGAGACGAAAGCTCTTCTATGAAATCAGCTGCTTTGTTGAGGAACTCCTTCTTGGATTGGGTCTCCAAGCCGTATGGAGCGTTTCTCTGAGGTCTTCTGAAATCTGCCGCAGGTTCCCTAGCACTTCTGACGTTCCTGATCACATTATCTTGGATGGGAGTCTGGACTGTTTGTCTTTCTGAAATGACCTCTGTTTCTGGAGTGGGTTTGCTGGAAGGAAGATTACAGTGGCTCGTTGGTGGATGTGTGTCGGATCTCTCCTCACGTTCTCGAGGATCGCTGCTGAACGCTTTGCAGGCCAGATCCACGCTCTTGTCCAGTTCCTCCTGGCTCAGGAAGGCAGACAGGTCCGGCAACTGTGGCTCTGTGTCGTCCGCTTTCTCCTTGAGCGTCCCGTACACCAGGCGGCTAGGGCTGTCTATGGAGCTGGATTCGCCGTGTCTGTGATGAGCTCGGGCCTCGGCCAGGTAACTCTCACGCAGAAGCTGTGATAAAGACGTGGGCTGATCCATGCTGTTCTCCTGCATGCTGCTGGAGACGAAAAGATTTAGAACACTGAGACAATAATAATCAAGGGACATTTTTGTGCTTAATGCTTATTAATGCTTTCTGCTAACCCACTGTAATTTCTAATTATCTAAAAGAGTAGAGCAGCTTTCTGCAAATTAGTCTTATGTTTCTGAATATGTATCATGCCTACTTTTAGAAAGTAATTTAGTTTGCATGAATACATAACTCAAAATATGTCTGGTATATTATTGATATTGAACTTATACTGTAATCAGAGATGATATACTATATTATATGTTCTTATGATATGCATAAATACCCCCCCCCCCCCTTT